TTCACAAAACTGCCAGCGTTTCATTTAAGAACACTTTTTAAATTTAAGATCATTATGACGAACCCATAATACAATATATATTTTCATTTCTCGTGTATTTGAAGTAAATACAATGTTTTCAATTCAGGATGGTTTTTATATGGTTAGTGCATCTATCACATCAGTGACCTGGATTTGATTTCTTGCAATATTTGATTATAATGTGTATGAGAAGAGCAATGATTCTAGTTTGACTCTACCAAACATTACAGGTGCCAATCTGTAATTTCTTCGTATTAATTTGCTTCATTAAGAATAACAAAACTAAATTGGCCATCATAAGAATTTGTTTTCCTTATAAATATTTTATAACTTTTGTGTTAAGCAATATGGCAGTTCAAGGCCTTCCAACCGTCACAGGTTTACCAGAACCGTTTGACCGCTAGAAAGTCCTGGGAACGAGGTTGCCTTATTTCGCTGGCCTCAGAGTGACAAAACGTAACAAAGCAATGGTTTTACTAACACTAACCCTTTTCCAAGCACCAACTCTAACCCTACTCCAAGTTTGTTTCTAAACCAATCTTGAAGAAAAAAGTTTTGACGAAATGTCATTCTGAGGTCAGCGAAATAACCTCTTCCCAGCTATGAGTTGTTTTCGTAACCGCCTGGTTCATCATTTGCAATTATATAGTTTTAGTAAATGTTTTAATAGAATAATAACTACATATATAGATGTATTAAGTATCACATTAACAGTTCTTTATAGTTGCATTTCGTGTTGGAAAGTTCCATTACAATGTACAGTGGAACTTGAACTAAATTATATCAGGTGGAGAATGCATCATTATGTCTCCAGAACTAATTTGTATAGTTTCAGTGTTATATTCTTCTGCTTTCTCAGTCACAACCACCACGACATCACGACCTTTTTGTGCTGCGTTCTCAAAAATATTTTCGACGTCTTCATCATCTTCTATTACGATATGCATCTTTTCGCCATTAATCGTATCCTCTTGTCGAAGCTGGCTTGCTTTGACGCGGGTGCGACGTTCAACTTCTGCTTTCAATGCCGAGAACGTGAACTCGCTATAGAGCAAGTACGTAAATCTTCGTTCTTTTTTCTTGCAAAGAATTTGATATTCTGTGCCTTTTTACCATCAGTTGAATCTGTTGCTTCGGGAAACATGTACTTTTTAGCGTCGCTGGCACTCGGACGTTCGTTTGGATTCTTTTCAAGCATTTGTTTCATTAGACTGCTCAACTTTTTGTCATCCTTGTGATATATGCATTTATTGATGTCACGTTCGCCTCGTCGTATTGCCTTAATCTCCTCCTTTAATTCTGAACTCTCTAGGACGGGGAAACAGCTAATAAAATACAACACCATTCCGGCACTGTAAACATCTACTTTGAAATCGTATGTTTTGGTATTGAGCTCGGGCGCCGTGTGTAAAGAATCACATGCAAAAGGCGTTAGTTCCTCAGATTTTAGGTTGATTGTCCCATCCGAAGACAAGTCAAAGGTTGTTCCAACATACCTTGCAAGTCCGAAATCGGCGATCTTGACATGAATATCATTGATTCGTTGTGGGTTTGGATTTACTATGAGGATATTACCGGGATGAATATCACGATGTACCCAGTACATTGAGTGGATGAAAACTAGGCCATCTAAAATTTGTCGAAATACTTGCTGGTAAAATCGTGGCGGGCCTTCAGCTTGGATAATCTTAGGGCCATCGATTTTATTCTTAATAACGAAAGTATGTAAGTTTACCCAACACAGTTCCATTTGGATAGCCAGTGTTTCTACGTCACAAACGTATAGTATCCAAGCTTTGAAATGTTCGATAACATTTCGTTTTGACTCTTCTGACCGATTCTGGAACTTTGTGAGAGCTTCGACTTCTCGCTGTTCATATTTCGCTCCTTGTATTTTGTTGATAGGAAGCATTTTTATGGCATATGGTTTGCCATTGTCTTTACACTTCACTTTAAAAACTTGACCAAAGGCACCTTTACCAAGCGTACCGTCAACCTCATATTTGTTGCTTAAAGCTTTTCCACATTCCGCGTATAGCGTTGCATCATTATCTGTAGTATTCATAACGTTGTATCTTTAAGAAGGAATTTACGTCCTAAACTACAACGTGTTGTCTTGTGATGTGATTCCAAGAAGAGCTAACAGCTAGGAAGTTCAAAAAGGTCAAACACAATAGTTTTATGATTAATTTAAGTTGCCGCAAGAGCATACCAGACTAAGTCCAATCACAAATACAATGGGACGTTTGTACTAGCGAAATAAACAAATTTTGTTTTATCTAGTATTGCAACCATACGAC